AGTGGTGCCCTGGGGTGGCTGAGCCCTGTGGGAGACGCTGTCTGATACAGGGATGGATGATGCATCTCCCCCACCTCCACTGTGAGGTAATTCCTCCCTGCTGTGGCAGTAAATGCCCTTTCCCACCTGCAGAAATCCAACCAGTAGAAATCCCCCCTCACCGCATAGTTGGACAGACCTCAGTGAAGCCTTCAGCTTCCCTGCGCGCCCAGCCCTGGCTGCCCTATCATGCCCAGGTTTCCTGTCCCACCTGATCCCCCATGCCAGTGGGCTTTGTGTGGCAGGGACACAGTCTGGCATTGGGAATGCCGCTGGCATGGGCAGTGGTGGACCCAGACTCTGCCTGAGCAGGACCAGAGAGCAGGACCAGGCTGCTTGGAGCTGGAGCGGTACCTGGGGGACTGCTCTTCATCTGCACAGAGCTGTTCATGAGCAGGAGCGATTCTCCTGTGTCCCATGTCCCACGAAGGAGCCAGGCCAGCCCAGCATATCCCTGCTGCACATAGAGGCAATGGACTCTGCACCCAGTGACAGGGCACTGTCACTGCTTGCTGTGGCCAGAGCAGGCGCAGGATGCTGGAGGCCCTGCAGTGGGTAGGAGCTGCTGTCACAGACAAACCCAGCTCCCTGCCTGCAGCTCTGGGCCTCCGTGGGACATGAATGTTGCACCAGTGAGGGCTGGACAAGGCTCCTGTAAGCCCAGAGCTGCTGGGAGGGAAACAGATAGGTGTGATGTGCATGCTGCGTGCTGGCAGGCTGCAGAGGTTATTTGGAGGTCTAGGTTTGGTCATTAGCAGCCATAGGACACTTCTGCCTGGGGATGTCCTATGCCCTCCGGACCCAGTGCCACCCTGGACCATCCTGTTCCCCACTTCCTCGTGGCAGTGATGAGCAAGATGAAAAGCTGGGCTCATCCCTTCGGTGGATCTAGCCCAGGTTCCAATTTTCCTTGTGCCCATGATGAATAGAGCACTGTGCTGCTTCTGCAGCTCAGGGAAGCCAGGGCCAAGGATAGGGAGTGGTGCTGTGACACATCCTTTCTTCTCTCACTGCAGCTGATGCCCTTAAGGGTGCTCCACTGGAAGGATCAGCAGAAGGTATTGGAGGCGGGCTTGGGTGCCTGGGGCTGCTGGCCAGACCCTCTTACTCCACCATGTGCAGGAGCACTGGGACAGCCTCACCATCCTGCACAGTGTCAGGACTTCACAGAGGCTCTGGGCACTGGTTTTGGGTACCTAAAAACTACTGAGTACATTGTGGGTACCCAAAAGCTATTGAGTGGCTACTGAGTACAAAAACGGAACGGAGATGCCTCTGGCCAACTGTACTTTGCCTGCAGAACTTGCAAAGGAAATGGTCCACTGGGGCCACTGGATAGCAGCATCCCAAGCCCATGGGTACTGCTGGCTCCCCAGTCTGCGTCCCTCTTGCCCAGGTCCCTTGGTGCCTGCTGAGGCCAGCATAGCTCTGCAGCCAGAGCCTGACTGTCAGCAGGGCTGTTCCAGCCTGGCCTCTCTGCATATCCCTAAGTGTGACCCATGCCCTGTGCCCACTGAAGAGTTAGTGAGGGGACATCCCTAAGCAAGTCGTGTGTGGGGGGGCATCCCAAGGCACTGCTTCACCTGGGAAGGTCCTAGGGAGCCAGAGGGGGTGCAAGCATAACTGTGCCAGACCCCTCCCCAGCACACAGCTGGGGGAGAACCAGGGGGGCCCTGCAAGCCCTCTCTCCTGAAATCAGGGTGTTGTATTTACTTTCCCCTTTTGGCAGCTAGAAGGGGAAGCCCATCCCAGCCCCTCATTGTTGTCTCAGCGAGTTAATCAGATGCCATAATCCTGTTGTGGAAATATCGGGCCTCCCTGGAAACAATGGGGAGCGAGAATATTGTGGTTAAATTTCAACCAGCTGCCTCCCTGCTCTGTTTGATCCCCGCCCGCAGGCCCGGGCCCCTGGCGAGCAGGCGGCGCGGCGGGGGCCGGAGCCCCGGGGGTGCCACCCTGCGCCCA